TAACTTTACGCCGCAGTTGAATCAACAAAGTTGACAAGCGAGCGCGTGTGTGGCGCATATTTGGTTGCATAAGCAGCAGGCGTAGCCGGTAGCTGCTAGACGACGTTTTATCAAAAGCGCAATTAATCAACAACAACCATAATACACCGGTTATTAGGAAAAACCAACTTGCAACCTGTGTGTGCTTGTGCGAGAAATGTTGAGCAGTATCATGGCCAACGCATTCGTGTCGACTGTTGGGGGAGTTCAACAACGTTATAATTAAACGATTTTCATGATGGAATCGTCGCTTGCGTTGCGGCGGTATGGGGCGGTTCGCATCGCATTCGTCCTGACAGAAGTCATTATTTCTGGTTACTTCTTGTTCTTTGCACTCGCGCGTTATTTTTACGTTTCGATTACGCGCGGCATGCAACACACATCGTCCTTTTCCTTCCGTCGTCATTTGGGGGCGGCAGCAGGCGGCGGTGGTGTACCTAGTGCGTGCAGACCGAACGGCAGACATGCTCACAATTATATTTCATACAATACGTCATAAAAACCAGCATGTTGAAACCTACTCTTTGATATACAACCGTTTTGATCGCAGACACATTGTATATATTTGCTGTGTTTTTTGTTTCTAGTTAAAAACATACACAACACATTTCACTATCTAAAGCATCCTGTAGAACTCCTTGTTATTCCGATAGGCGGCGTGTTTGTCATTATTTTCAGCGCGCACGCAAACACATTGTATGACAAGGAGTGTAGTCGCGTTTTTTCCAGGCGGTTTTTCAGTGCAGTCACGCATGCATTTCCATTAGTAATTACTTTTATTTGTTTTCGATGCCGTGCGTAGATATACACACACGTAATTTTGTTTGGCGATAAAAGTTCCTAATAACCGGTAGCGGTGGTTCGAGAATCGGCTAATTATCTCCACACTTGTGTTGAAATAATAATAGAAAAACTTTTAAGTCATTATCACCCACGATAAGTTTTTCCAGGGAAAACAATTATATATGATCCTAATCTACAAATATTTTTATAACTAATGTTTGACTTGGCGTACAAGCATCGAACACTATAAATATTTTGTCAATAGCTCTTGGATTTAATTAGATTTCCAAAACACGCCATAAATGATTCCGTTACGCGGTAGTCGGAAATAAAGTTTTTCTTATGCACACTTAATATTTGAGTATAAAACTCGAAACATAATCAAAACCCTCTTGTCTTAAGTTTTACGCGCGCCAGACGAGGCCGCTATTACCGTCATTTTCCGGCACACAATAGACTGACATAATGATTTCCTTCGAAGTTTTCAACTTTACGCTTTCTTCGCGCCGAAACTGGCGTCAAATTGAAATTGTTATTGAAGTTCATTGAAAATCCTTTCTGTCGCTTCCTGGAAAGGCTTGTAAAGGCCTGCACCAAACAGAATGAGCACCAAAAGTTACAAGCATAATTATTGCCAAAGAACCACTTTGTTCTCTATTAATTTTTTACATGCCAAATGTAAAAAAATGAAAATAAGAAAAATACGTTTTTTACTTAACGCAAAAATTTGAAGATAAAATTATATCGCATAAATTAATGGTGAAAAACGAAAAATGACATATTATAGTGTTGAAATTGAATGTCAGTCATAAAATTAAATTCGTTTTATTTTTCATTGAATAGCAATAAAACGGAATTAAAAACATCGTATACAAAACGTGTACACACACCGCACATGCACATTCGTGTCGATTACAAACATGGAGTAAAGTAAATGCAGCCAAAGTTAAGTTAACTTTAGTTAAGTCAAGACAACCGGCGGGTATTTTATGTCGAAAGTCGAAATTCCAGCGGAAACTTATAAAACGTCTCACTTTATAGCCGCCACTCGAAACACAGGTACTAACGAAGCGCAAGTTACCATAAGTAACTATAAGTAAATGTAAGCAGGCGCAAGCGTATATAACTTAACTTTAGTTCAGAATGCGTGTGCCGCAGGTGAGTTGAAGCTGTAAAAGCTGCAGGAGAGCTGATAATTACGCACGCATTTAAGTGCCACAACGATGTTATTAGAATTATTTTATTCTGTTTAAAAACGTAATTTTTGCTTTTTAAGGAAACTTTGAAATTAGTGAATAAAAAATTGACGCTGTGATTTTTATTATTTAATTTTCATGCTTCGTATTTATCTTCTTCTAGTGCAAATATTTCGAAAATTTAAGTTAACGTTGAGTTCATCTCCGCGTTTTCCCAGACCCACGGTGTATAATTAATAAAGTTACACTAGTTATACATAGCGCGAAACGAGCACATAAACTTAAATATAGAAGATATAGCCGTGAAGTGCCGTCTATGAGTATAACTAAAACATCGTTTAGGAAAGTTACTAGGAACAGGTGAGATATATACAGCTATAAACGTGCCAAAAATATGAATTCCGATAGTTTTCAAGTCATCACAATATTCACGATAAACTGTTTCACATTAAAATTTACATTTCAATCGTTGGGGAAGTTTGAGTTCAAACATTTGGTATATTTGTGAGACAAATTGAATTATTAAAATAATAGTAATGGTACTCGTTAAATTTAATAAGACGACGCAGCGAACTTCCACAAAGTAGGTAATTTAATAGCGTTTGATGCTATCTATTTAGTGTCTGAACATATAAAACTTGCGCACTTAAAACTACAACAAAAATTTACTCACCACAAAACCACGTTACTCACATAAAACCTGATAAAACGAAACACGTAGTTTTATGAAATTATGAAAATGTATATATTATTTATTAATAAGCGTAAAGTCAAAGTATTGTATTAGATTTCATGATCGAACTGTGATCGTCCTTAATACTGGGCATAACCGTGCTTATTTCAATAAAAACCAAAGTTAAGCCACGTATATGACTCAACTTCCTCCACCTTTATTAACAGTATTCACATGTCTTCGCGCGCGGCTAGTGCGTGCGTGGAACACGCGCGAGTACAACTTCCCCCACCACACTTTGAGGGTAGTTCGCGGGCATAAAGGGCGATCGCGGTGCGCACGCAGTGCTCAGTCGTGCCTGAGTCGTCTTGCTGTCCAGTCGCAGGTTTGCATTCTTTCTACACTCTTCGCAAACGTTTTTGACGGATGTGTCCTTTTGTCACAGCAGGCAAACTTGCATATGGTTCGATAGTATATAATCTATTCCTATGAGTTTTAAATAATATTTTACATATAATCTAGTTGTAACAAGCAAATTGCTTCGGATGTCAAAGACATCTCAACAGCTAGAAACTGCTGAGACGCTAGACATGACGGAAACGTAATCGTAAACTGAATTATGCAAATCGGCTCGAAGTGTTGCAGGCACTGCGCCGTTTTAATGTTTTAATGTTTCAGCGCGTTACAGAACGAACGCCTTATGATGCTTTAGGATCGGGCTGAAGTATAACTTAATTTCTTGACATCAGTCTAGTTATATTACGTCGAATATTCTAGGAATACTTATTTCTAAAAATACAAGTATAATATATTATTTAAAGATGTTGAATATTCAAAAATATTGTCTGAAGATATTGTCTGAGAATCGTTTATTTTTGTAATTAGCAGGTTCTTACGTTTAGAGAGTTACTGTTAAATGGAAAAATAGCAAACAACTTCTGACTTCAATAAGCACTCAGAATAGAATGCATTACTACCGTTAACGTGATGTGTAATTGCAATGCAATTACACATGCTATGCAAGAAATTCCAGCTTAATTTAGGCGCATGCGCAAAATTTCATTTTAGCACAAAGAATGAAAAAACTTCAATACACTGAAAGTTAAATTGATGAAAAAAAAATTGATGATAAAATAATGAATATTATGTACGACTTGGCCGTCCGTATATAAGGTACCACTTTTTGTATCTAAAAACCGTGGAAAAACTGGCGCTTTATAGGTGGAAGTAGAAAAAATTGTTTATTGCCATTTTTATTCTTTATTGTTAAGTAATATCCACTAATATATAGACCTATGTTTTATTTACTTCTAGTCTTTAAATAGATTTTATAATTCTACCGTTGTTTGCTTGATTTCTTCCCTTCAATGCGTTCTCCACCTAAAAAAATTTGCTCCACAAAAATACCAGATATTCGTCTCGAAAAACATAACTTGTTATCATTCACTTTTTTTGCAAAGACTTCGATTGTAATAGCCATCGATTTGCCATGACCCATGAAAAGTCGGCAAATGTCGCCGTCTCCGATTCGAGCTGATTCAGAAATTACGTCCGTAATCGCGGCAATAGGAATCGAATGTTATGAAAGTGAAAAAACTAAGCCCTCCGGCAAAAACCGGAAAATAAAAAAGACGAAGAAGACGGATAGAAAAGAGCTGAATGGATGCGAATGAAGGACGAAGGGTGAAGCGGGAATACGGGAATCGTAACGGAAAGTGACCCCAAAGTCACTGCGTGCACTCGTAAAGCGCGCCGAAATAAATTGAAAAATATTCTAGTTATGGTTATGACATTCATTCGCGCCGAACGCAAATATTTTTATTCTATAAATATTAAATCTCAAATAAATCTGCTTACATTTTGCGTTGTGAATTTGCAAGAAATCATTGATAAAAACTCAGAAAAACATGAAATAACCCGTCTATAACAACCTAAACTAGTACAAAGTTGTGAGTTGTTGAAATTATATCTTGAATTGCTAGTTTTTAATTAAAAATCTGCAACAAATCGAAAATTAAATAATTCCAGGAACTATCAACTGTTCACCGCAAATAATAACACAAAACTAGAATTATTAATAGATTTTTGAGTGGCGTTCAAAAGATTAAAGTTTCAAGCGGACCGCAGGCTGGCAGACGCGCATCGTGCAGCAGGAATGCATGTGTGTGAAGTGCACCGTGCAGAGTTCCTGCTGCCCGCATCAGGCTACGGCTGTGAACTCGACATTCTAGCGCTGGTGCGCAGCACGCCGCGCGGCGCCTTCTCCCAACTCTCCGGCAAGTTGAACCAAACGCGACACGACGCCGCGCGAAGCGAGTCAGTTCGGCACGGAGCGTCGCGCGTCCAAGTGCGTCCCACGCGCTTGTGTCTCCTAGTCGCGCATCTACGCCACTCGCAAACACGCGGTTCGCGCAATAATGCGGTTTCTCTGAAACATAACACACGATATACTCGTGTGAAATCCGTATGTGAGGACTATCCGGTATTAACGGTTGTATTTTACGTTTATTTTGGATTTTTCATCGACCTAAAGGGATTGTTGTGATACCAAACCAAAAACAAGTGAATGTTTTATTAGAAAATATATACAGAAATTAAGTGGAACGTGGTTTTGGTGTGGTTGTTGTTGTTGTTTGGTGACGATTTATTTGGATATTGCCGTGCGAAGACGATGATGGAAGCGGCGAACACGTGCAGCACGTGCGTACTCCTGCTGGCTGGCTGCATCTTGCTGCTTGCCGCCGCCGGCCCAGCACACGCTGACTTTGAGAACAGTTGGACGATGTATATGGAGCAGCCGTGTTGTTCCGGTAATGGGAATCATCACGTTAGACATCACAGAGGTAAAGACTAAAAATATTAACATATTTGATAAATTCCCAATTGCATTCTTAACGCTATTGTGAATAATAAACAGACCAAAACAGCAATGCACAACCGCGTGTAAGAATGTTTTGTGCGATAAACAAAACCAAAGTTTACCTTGGCCGCTAAGATAAATAACATAATATTTACACAAACCGACCAAGAAGAAATAATTGGAACACGTGTGCAGACCGCTGTACAATAGAAATTATAAAGTTGAATAACTTTCAACACTAACAAATTATTATGGTTAAAATTGATTTTTAAAATTATTACTATGTTGTATTTTTCGTTTTTGATTAATGAAAGCTTTGCTTTGAATTACAAGAGTTGCGAGTCACTCCCCTTATTAAAATGCGTTTATACACGTCTATATCTATTCTGATGAACGCTACGCGTCCAGAGATGTCACCACAAGCGCCACCAGTGCTGCGGCATACTCGACGCTTTATAATTAACATTTTGATTAATGGCCGCACGTGTCGACGACAACGGAGACAACATTTTATCACGTTTTAACGTTTTATAATTATGATCATCAAAAAATGAGTTTTGTTCGGAATCCATTTTCGGTTAATAACTAAGCATCATTCAACATCGGTACACATTTACACATTATATTATTGTATTATATTATATTAGCGGAGAATTATATGACCGCAACATTGTCGAGGTGATTTATGGCGTCGTAAAAATGCGACCGCATTGCGCCGAATGAGCGGCAAGCCCTGGCAGTTAATTGGGTTGCTTATAAATGCATTTTCCAGTAGTGCCAACCAACTTCCCGGTAGACTCACTGTCAACCATATTACGATAATGACTCATCCGCGGACGCAAGTGAAAATGCGAAGAAAATTGATATAAATTCATGCAACAAACGTGCTTGCTTTAAACTTCTTGTATCCTTGATGAATAGTAACTTTGATAAAGTAACTGTACGCGGTGCGACGTTTCTGAGTTCGCAGTTTCTAGCGAGTCCGCATTGGTTAATTAAAACTAATTAGTTCATTAGTTCGACTCGCAATAACGCGTAACATGTATGCCGCATACAAGCAATGGCGGATTCTTTCTCAGCGTGGATTAATAGACACAATGTGTAATCGAGTGTAATGTTTGTGTAATTTTAGCGCTTCTCTTACACGAGAACAAAACACAAAACAAACAAAGCGAAAACTTGTTTTATTTATTTTCGTATGCTTGTATTTGAACAGATGAAACACATGGCGTAGTATAAATTTTACAGTTTTATGCTGCATACGAAAAGATTTGCGTTTAAATTTTCTGTCGCACAAGATGCACATCAAATGTCGTCTATTTTTTGTTTGTTTTGATGTTTATTCTCTGCATATTCGCATTTCTTTAGATATCTCACGCTTGGCTCTATGGGTGTGTGGATGTGTGTGTTGTTTTTGGATCGAATGTGATGTTGGCCGACGTCGTTGACGCTCGATTTTATTCGCGTTTGTCAACTCTGGCGCGAAAGTTCGCAACACGATGACAATTTCAATTTCGTTTCCCGCGACGCTCTCGTGTGACATGTGAATGAAAACTGACGGAAAAGTGAAGAAGTGTTTTCATATGTTCTACGACGTGTTTGGGAATAATAAAGAAATCGACCGTTTTGCTAGAGTTGCCATTTTCGTCTACGTTGCATAAAATTTTATTGTTTAATAAAATAAAATCAAGAAGGAAAATTTGAAAAATTCAGTTTTACAGTATTATGTGCATATAAAGATTACAGCCTTGGAACGAAGCTTGTTAAACGGCTGACTGAAAACCTTAACAGAATATTGTTTAATTTCACCATTTTTCCTCACTTTCATCGCAGGTTTTTGTATTATTTTCTTCTGGGCGTGTTTCCATCTCGCTTCACTGCATAGCGACGTTTAAGTTTAAACCTCTATAAAGGTTTGTCGCCGCGTATGCATGTGGGCATTGTGTTTTAGCGCGCCGAATGCAATTATAAACGACGTCGCTGCCATCGCCGCCACGCGACGACGAAAAGGAACGGGCGACTTTTACGAGCGCACCGTTAAAATAAAGAAAATTGCGTGACTCGAACAAAGCCAATTATATTCCTCGGCTCAGCAAATACGGCGTTCGCGACCAGCGATGGAGACGACGACAAGACGAGGAAGCGAAGAAGCGAACGCGCAGAGCGAATGTTTCCAACTTCCAACTCGCGGGTTACCATAAGCTCAGCGAGCTCATTATGGAAGCATATATTCGAACGTTTTCGTATTTCATGCGTTCAAACATATAAATTTCCGTTCCGAGAATAATTATTACTAGTCGAGCCGGTGCACGAACATTAGCGCACGTTAGTGAACGCTTAGAGAGAAAAATGAAATAAAAATAAAACAAACTCGTAAAAACATATTCCATTAGTTTTTTTTTCGTCTGACATCAAGGGTATCAATAACACTACATTAAACAACATCAAACTATGTGTCTAGTTTCTCCGTTTATGAAAGCGGAATGTCTGAATGCGAACGTGAACGAGATTGTAATTCGTCATGCAAATTCGTGGCGCACGGTGGTGGTGGTTGGCCTAAGCTTTATTGCTCAGGAAGTGCAAAAGGTATTAGAAGGGATTATGCCAACCTCGGTTGCGAAACGAATGCGTAACGCAGACGCATTCACACGCTAAACTAACCACACTCGCACAAGGTGATACTCCCATGGTAACTAAAGCGACAACTATGCTTATGGTTTTGTGAAAAATGTTTAGATCAAAGTATATTTTCACATTATCAGTATTAACACCTACTTGCTAAGTGTAACTACCCTCACGTTATAGTTAGGGGTTGAAATTTTGTGTTTTTCAAAACGTGTAAACTACTGGTTGATGTGGAAATGAAAGTAAACCATAGTGACAACCATCCGAGGGGCGATTCAATTTACACACCCTCCAAAACGAATATATTTGCACTCACTGAATGGACAAAACTCACATGGTTAATAGCAGTTTGCAACGTTTAGTCTCCATGCTGAAATAATAGGCATGATGTCTGCTTTTCAAAAAGTTTATATATTGCTCTGCAATATATGCGATATTTATTTGGAATTTGTTGGGTCAATTGGGAAAATTACATCCTAGTTCGCAATTTTTAAATTAATGTCCATTGGCATTGCTTGTGACGTCAATGTTGAGTTAACAAAACCGACAATTCTCTAGCCAATCACACCAGACTCTTTCCGATCGGAAAATTACATCACAATATTTTTGCCGTTTATTTTTATGAAAATTATCATCGGTTTAGCACTTGGTAAAAAAATAAATACGGGTTTTGTATTTAAACACTCAAGTTACATTAAATAAATACTAAGTTTTGTTGATTTTCAGTTATTCATCATCTCTAATTCTAATGCAAATATTGTAAGAATTTTATCTTCCACCCCAAAAAAACAGTCTGTGATTATAATTCAAAATTTAATAAATGTTTGAGTGAATATGCAAACAAGGCGCGTTTTAATTAAATTAAATACTCGCATTAGTTATGACTATGAGCGGTACTGCGCACGGGTCTCCTCGGTGCAATCCATACGGCGAGCATATGCTGATATGAATCAAGTTTACGACTCACAATTAAATTGATGCGTGCGCTGTGAATTCAATGTGCACGGATGCCAGCCTGGCCGAAGCAAACACAACGCTGCCCCGTCGACCACGCACGTGTGGTTCATATTTAGTATTTGCTAACGTGACGCACCCCTTCAACTTCAACCTCCGAGACTCTTAGTACTTCATACAATTCGGTATTTTTCTCATCGCTATCTATCATTCGATCAAAATCAAAGCAAATATTGAATTACAGAACATCACTTGATATACGCTTAAAGAAGTTGCTTGTAGAGTGAATATATACGTGTATGTATAATTCCGTCATTGTTCGGTGTAAGATCGTTGGTTGCATTGTGTCAAACGCGATTGTAACGCAAGGCGAAGGCGTTCTTTTGTGTAATTACTTGTTCGAATGCGCGCCCAGAGCATGGCGAACACGATTATCGAGCTTGCAAGCTACATTCCTTCAGAGTAGTAAGAAGTAGTAGGTACGAGTAAGTAAGCGTTGCGCAGTCAGCAAAGTCAACTTAGACTTCCCAAGGTTTCTACATTCGTTATTCTTTATTCTTCATTCTTCTCGCTTGATGTGATGCCTCCTGACGAATCATGATTCGTGATTCCGACTTCTTTTCATGGGCGGATGTTTTTTTTTTTCTTCTTCTTTGTACTCACTCGCTTCATTAACGCTATTATATCACTCCCGACATGTACACAACATGATATGAAGTTTCGCCATCTAAAATTTGTTACTCTTGTTGCAGGTATGTGTCTTCCATCTAGATTTATGATTCGGCGACGCGAAGTAAGTGTTAACGTCGTTTGGTTTAATCTACTGCGAGTGTTTTGTTTCTTCATCATCTCATTTTCGCTCCGCCATAGAAGTATTCTTCTTACTTAGTGCGCGAAGTGCAGCCTCTTAGGAGATAATACATCGTGCCGATTGCTCAGAGAGTAGCTAACTCAAGTAAGTCGCGAGTAACTCGCGTTTATAACCCCGTCCGCCGCCAGTTTTGCTCGTTGGCAACTTTTGCAGCGCATTGTCTCCCATCATAGCCCAGTCAGTCCACGACTAGCTTCATTTCGGCGTCAACTCATCATGCGATGATGATGATGGTCTCGTGTTTTGTTTCTCGTCTCTTCGTTGCGAATGTGACTTTTGCGTGTGCGCGCGCGCCGTGCCTTTCAGTGCGCCTTCCAGTTGATTGATGACTTTGATAGCTCCACTCTTAATCTAGACGAATGAACGCCAAACGAAGGAATAAACTCTCTCCGAGTCGCCTTTCAGCCGTCGTGCGATGAAACTGTAGCACGTTGTAGTATATCCCAGATGCATTCGCTTATCTTTGTTGCGTTCTCGGTATTCGCACCGCGTACGTGATGTGCTTCTCATCGTCTTCATCTAGTCGTCCATAT